TTCAACTTTCTAAATTTATTTATGCTATCAACCGACATCAAAAAAGGAGGAGGTTCTTAATTCGGCTGTTTTTTTCTACCGACTTGAAAAAGGACCTCATAACAGATTTCAATGATTCTTTTTTATTTGAAAGCTGGTGCTTCACATGTGCTCCCATATAAATTTGATCAAGGTCTGACAAATAGTTTCTGTATTGAAGTCGGTTGTATAATTTTTTTTATTTTAAATTAATTTATTTTTGTTACCTCAGAACTTTTTTCTAAGTAAACTAATATTGATGTTTCTTTTATTATTTGAAAGCTGGTGCTTCTCATGTGTTCCCATATAAATTTGATCAAGATCTGACCAGTAGTTTTTGAGTAATCTTATTTAATTGGCTTCGACTACATTGATGATGTTCTCATTTTATTTATATTGAAGTCGAAGAACTTGTATGCTTCAGTGTCATAATTGACGATACAATGTATCCATGTTTTCAAATATCATAGGATTACCTGCGTGGATGCAAGAATATCCGTAACAGACGCCCATAAACCAATCCTCTTACCGCCGAAAATTAATCAAGAACCCTCTGGCGGGCACCGGCTTACCGAAGCGAAGGGAGCAGGGTAGGTACTACGTACAATCGGCTTATACAACGTAGCGTGATTTATTGAGTGATGTTTTCAATAATTTCATAACACGTTTCTTGTAGGTAAACATTATTCACGGAGTAAAATTATACAATGAAATCAAATTAAAAATAATTATTTCCTATAATCAGCAATAGAATTCTATGATATCAGCCTTTTGAATACACAAAGAACACTTTTGTTTAACAGACTTTAAAAAAGCTTTACAATTCACTGTATAGTAGGTATGTTTTTGTATGTTTATTATACACGATATCTTAATTATAATTTTGGAAAAAATATCCACCCCCCAGAGGTGGCGAAATAGGGGATAAAGTTTTATTGTATGTTACCATTTGGTAGAGCCATGCTGCAGCTATATTAGTAGAATAGTTGTGTGTAACACGAATGCGTCGGCTCTACCGGGGAAGGACCACGCTCTCACAGAATACCAGCGTAAAATGGCAGATTGACACTGCTGTGTTTCTGCTGAGTTTAGGGAACCGAAGACCCATTTTACTGGAAAAGGGGCATTCCATCTTAGTCCTCACGGGTGACGACGCATCTGCATTTTGATTCTTTATTGAGGATAAATGTAGATGTCTATGGGTCACAGCAACCACTTAACATCAGGTGGACTGTGTGCTCGTTTGACAACCTATCCTATAAAAAAAGGTAACATTGAAATTGTGATATTTCTTAATCCACTCAAAAGAGTACAAACAATAACTTTGAACAAAAAAAATCCAAGCTGACTTCAAAGAACTTTAAAGAATAAAATAATTTCTCGTTCTGAAGTTGGGGATTTAATTCTATTGTTTCTATTTTTCTTATATCTTAGCACCGGACTTCTGAATGTGCTACTATTATATTCTTTGTATAGTAATTTGAAATCGACTTTTTAAGAAGGAACTTTCATATAAGGGATATATGGCCCGCGGCCGTACTTTATGGCAATCTCCATACACTACCCCAAGGTAAGCCTATGTTCAGCAATGGACTTGAGATTTTTTTTTTATAGGAGAGGGGGCAAACGAGCATGCGGCTCACCTGATGGTAAGTGACTACCGTCGCCCATGAACAACTGCAACACCAGGGAGGGAATTGCAGATGCGTTGCCGGCCTTTTAAAAAGGAGTAGGCTCTTTTCTTGAAGGTCCCTAAGTCGTATCGGTCCGGAAAAATCGCTGATGGAAATCGATTCCACAAGGAAGTCGTGCGAGGAAGAAAACATCTTCTAAATCGCACAGTGGTGGACCGCCAATCATTCAGATGGTGTGGATGGTATCGGGAGTTCTGCCGCGATGTGCGTTCGTGAAATTTGGCGGCTGGGATTAATCCGAACAATTCCTCAGAGCACTCCCCATGGTAGATGCGAAAGAAAATGCAAAGGGATGCAACGTCTCTTCGCAGTGCCAATGAATCGAGCCGATCGGAAAGGACTCGGTCGTCGACGATTCGAGCCGCTCTGCGCTGGATGCGGTCAAGTGGAAGGAGCTGGAACTGGGGAGCCCCTGATAAGAGATGGGAACAGTATTCCATGTGAGGCCGAACCTGCGCCTTGTAAAGTTGTGCCGGCATGAAATACTGTCCCGCTCTGCTGAGCACGCCATGTGCTGTAATAGATATAATAGCAGAAAATATTTATATATATATATACGAAAAAGTTTAAAATTTTATTAAGCAAAAATTGTTTAGTAAGGGTTACCTATTAAACTAAAAAAGAGTAAATGATTGATAATGGCACCTGGGAATGAGGTGATCGCTACCATGCTGTTTCTAAATGTTTTCATAACAATTGTATAAAATAATATATTGTAAATTAATTTTATTAAAAAAATCCCGCTGCGTTTTTTGCAGGTCCTTCCCAGGACAGAGGTTTTTCCCGTACCAGTGGTAAATAAAAAAAATTACTTTCAATAAGTATTATGTAATTAAATCAATATTGAATGAAAATCATTATATTCTATTCTATTCTACTAGAACAGATATTTATCTGATATTGACACATCACTTTACCACGCATTCGTGCCGTAATATTTTAGCTCTATCACGAAAAAAATTGAGGATAGATGTAGGTAGTTGTTTATGGGCCACAGCTTTCACCCATTTTTACTAGACGGTAGGACTTCCTTTCCGCTTAGAAGTTCATCTGGATAGGTATCACTCTCTTACCTGTTTCTACCTCCAAGCAGCAGTACTTGCACTGATCTGTTCAATTTTTTATGGAAGGCATACGGCTCACCTGGTGGTAAGTGGTCACCGTCGCCTATGATTTGATAATTGCAGATGCATTGTCGGCTTTTAAAAGGAGTAGGCTCTTTTATTGAAGGTCCCTAAGTCGTGTCGGTCCGATAAAACCGCTGGCGATAGTAAATTCCACAGTGTGGACCACCAGGCGAGGCAGAAAATTCTGCGTAAATGGCACGGTAGTGGACTGCCAGCTATCGAGATGATAAGGATAGAATTTCGAGTTCTACCGTAGTAAACGATGGCCGAATGCTGGAATTAATCCGAACAATTCTTCTGAGCTCTCCCCATGGTATAAGCCGCAGAAGATGCAAAAAGATTCAGCGTCTCTTCTCAAGGCTAGTGGATCAAGCCGATCAGAAAGAGCTTGGTCGTCGATGATTCGGGCCGCTCTCCATTGAATACGGTCAAGTGGAAGGGTCTGACACCGGGGTGCCCCGGCCCGGAGATGAGAACAGTATTCCATGTGAGGCCCAACCTGCGCTTCATAAAGGTGGAACTGGGACGGCATGAAATACCGTCTCGATCTACTGAGCATACCAAGCTTTTTTGATGCCAGTTTAGCCTTCCCTTACAAGTAAAGATCTAAAGGGAATATTGGACCAGTAAAATTAGTGGTTGTGAGGCTGTGAATTCTCAGGGATAACAATGCATCTGTAGTCTTCTTTGTTGGAAGTTTGTTGTAGGTGGTTTGTTGTTGTCTTTATACGTAGTAGAGCCATGCTGCAGCTATATTTCTGGTATAGTTGTAACACGAATGGGTCGGCTCGACCGGGGAAGGACCACGCTCTCACAGAATACCAGCGTAAAATAGCAGCTTAATGCTGCTGTGTTTCGTATGGTGAGTGTAGAGAACCGGAGACCCTTTTTATTGGAAACGAGGCATTCCATCTTAGTCCTCACGGGTGACAACGCATCTGCATTTTGATTCGTAATCGAGGATAGATATAGATATTTATAGGCCACAGCAACCACTTACCATCAGGTGGACTGTGTGCTCGTTTGTCATCCTTATCCTATTAAAAAAAAGGTTCCATGTGCTACAGTAGCCACATACCATGAGGTCGACTATAAGTTCGTTTATTACTTCAATTTAAAAAAAAACTCCTAAAAACTGTACAATGCAGACTTTTTGATTACCTATATGTTAATTTAGGCTATTAATTTTTAATATTAAAAAAAAAATTAAAACTAAATACCTAAATACATCCTACAGATAACAACAGGCCACTACTTATTTCTAAAGCTGTTTTATACGAGAAAGTCTGCCGCGCTGTTCCAATGTGTGTTGACGAACTTTCACGTGTCCTTGAAATATTTTAATCACTCAAACACGCAGATTTCCTCGTGATATTTCCTTCGCTGTAAATCTGCACTCAAAAAAATAATAATTTTAAAACACGTTCTCCAATTTCAGTGGCGCCTGCGTAGATCGAACTCAAGCTATCTAGGCAAACCAAAACGAGCGTTCCAGATCGATTCTTAAAATTACCTTATAAGTAATAAGTAATAATTAGATAGCTCCGTGGCGCAGTGCCTTAGCAATGAGTTGTTGCGCTGGGGCTCGCGGCGAATCCCGCACGGAACAAGTATTTGTATGGCCTACGGATAATTGTTCCGGGTCTGGATGTTTGTCCTCGTGCAATTTATATTTGTAAACTACCTCCACGATACAGGAGAAAATCCTAGTGTAGGGGTAACGTTTTTTTAAAAGAAAGAAAGAAAGAATAAGGATACCCGCCGATACATTGTTCACAGAATGCTCCAGATTATAATTCATCTTATCTTTTTTTTCATCTTAAATCTCACTAATGACATAAAAACATCATACTTTATAAAGGAACGCGAATTTTACCTACCACCTTCTACCACATTTCAAATACTATCGTCAGAAGAAGCTCTCCGTTATGAGTCCTTAGATCCTTAAAAATGTAGGTAATGTCTTTACAGTACAGATGATGCTGCTTTTACTAATCAAGATCTGTTAACAAATACTATTCCTATTGAGAACACTTCGTGAAATGAAGATAATATAGCATTTAAAAAGATTTCCCATTTAATTAATTTATTTTCAGGATTTGGGACAATAATTTCAAACAATAAATAATAAGCATCATTTATTTAACATACTAAATACAATTCACTTTTTGGCAGGCTTAGGAGGTATCGGACATTCATAAATATTGATGCTTTTGTCTTTGGAAACAGATAGCAACTTGTTACTCGGCGCGTTGAACTGGACACTCCACACCTGGAACAACAGGTTTGATGAGGTATTTCTGGGATTCGGAACCACAAGCTTTTCGGTGTTAACCACGTCTGTGTCAACGGTTGGCAAATCGAACAAATTTCTTATTTGTTCCTCCGAAACGAAAATACACCAAAATATTTCTCATAAAAAGTCGCTGTCTATCATTTCTACTACATTTTTTTTATAGGATAGGGTGACAAACGAGCACACAGTCCACCTGATGGTAAGTGGTTGCTGCGGCCCGTAGACATCTACATCTATCCTCGTTTGCGAATCAAAATGCAGATGCGTTGTCACCCGTGAGGACTAAGATGGAATGCCTCTTTTCCAGTAAAAAGGGTCTCCGGTTCTCTACACTCACCATACGAAACACAGCAGTTTTAAGCTGCTATTTTACGCTGGTATTCTGTGAGAGCGTAATCCTACCCCGGTCGAGCCGACCCATTCTTGCCACAACTATACTACTAATACAGCTGCAGCATGGCTCTACCACGTACAAAATACATAATACATTATTTTTTTAAAATTATTCTTAATGATTATTATACTTTTATGTAATAACACGTCATTAAAAAGAAGACTACTCAATTACATTGACAACATAATCATCTTAAATCCGACCATGTATAGAAAGATTTTGAAATTGTATCGACAAATAATAGTACCGCTGTAATGTGTTACAGTATCTCCCACCAAGTTTTTGACCAAATTAGATAAAAATTTAAAAATACAAGTTGAATATCCGCTCTCACACTTTACTATTTTTAACAATGAACCTTTCCTGGTGTGTTCCCGCTATTTCCGACATATTCAATAATTTTTTGGTTCTTGTTTAGAAAAAATATGAGTATTTTTTTTTTGTGGTTAGTGTCACTAGAGTATTAAACCATTTCAGAATATTGATTAGTTGTGCTAACTTTTATAATAACTTGTCATAGTAGTGTTGATACATTTATTTATACCGTGATGAGTGTAAGTTGATTAAAAGTGGAAATTTTCTAAAATTGCAACAAAAAAATTAAATTAAAGTAATTAATTTAATTTTTAACGATACATCAGGTATATTTTCGTTTTATTGATGGAAATGGAATGAACAGCTATGCTACTTAGGTTGCTAGTACAAAAAAGATAACAGTGATATTTGTAAATTTGTAGTCGTAATAAGTAAAAATATTGTATAGGCTGTCAAATTTTGAAGTACTTTAAAAACGTTATTATAACTTAAAGATTTTTTTCCCTGGGCGTCATCAATTTGTCTAATAAAAGTTGTGTATTGGGACATTGGTATAATTAAATTTTAATATTAAGATAAGAAAAAAAAATGTGGCAAATATAGATATAAAAATGTATTTAATACATTTATGAAAAATAAGAAATAATATTATAATATAGAGCATCTATATTTACCCTATATTAATGACACTATTTCGACACTCGAATAAGGGTTTTCATAGAGGTATTTTAAAACAATTAGATTAGAATGAGGAATAATCTCAATAGCAGTTTTACAGAGTTTAGTGGAAACCCCCCCCCCCCCCCCCCTATCCTACTTAGATGGAGTAGCTAAAGACCTGGTAAAACACGCAAGTAGTAGATAGATGCTTAAGCCTCAGAACCGTGTTTAGTGACATTCCTGGGGGAGGTCTATGTTCAGCAGTGGACATTTGAAAGATCGTACACGCGATATGTTGATATAATCATAATTTTTTATAAGACATACAAGAAATAACATCAGAGTTTTGAGTAAAGCCAGAATTGCAATCAAACAAATAGATACATACCGTATTGGAATGCTCTTTGAAGCTTTTCAATGTCTTCAGATCTTCAAGCAAAATGTGCACGGAGCCATCGGCTGTGGCGGCCGCGATCCGATTATCGACACTCGAGAAGGCGGCGCTCAAAACCCACGACTTTAGGTTCAGTGAGCTCAAAAGATTAGCACTGGCCCTATTAAAAAAAATTGTAAAATAAATTTCTTTTTATTTAACTTAATTAAAAAAAAACTATTATTACCAAAGTCTTCTATGTATGATACTATACCGGCAATTTACTGGCACGGTAAATATGTTACGCTGTTGTATTTTAATTTACAACAGTTACTGTTTTCTAGCAGTATAGCTAGAAGTCTTTGTACATAATACTGCTGTTTAATATGGTGAATGACGAAAACGGGAGACTGACTAATTATAGCGACGCATTCTCTCTTAGTCCTCAGGGGTGACAAGATTCCTGCAATTCTTAATTAAGGATATATGAAAGCGCAGTGAGTGCAAAACATGAAATATTACTTTAAAGGTTAGTTAATGTCTGTAAATAATCAGTGATGGAGATCCAATGTGTAAATCTCCATCACTAGCACTAACAGTTTATTATATTATAATTGCGACAAGGGACGCACAGTCAAAAATTGACCTTATTTACAGATTATTTTAGGTTTCAATTGCCATACATTATGTAAGTTACAATGTTTATTATATGACACCATTAGCTCGTCAGTCACCGCCAGAAACGTTTTATGTAAGTAAGGTACAATAAAAACTAATCAATATTACGATAGTGATGATATTCGAACTAAACTCGTCCGCAGCGTAATTGATAAGCCTACCGCCACCTAGCGATGCTCAATTCGCGCTGGATCAGTTGTTTTTCGAACTACGGTCATTTTGTGGAGCAGTGATGTCTACGTTTTATAACATCCACTTACTATCAGATGGAATGTATGCTCGTTTGTAACCCTTATTTCTATAAAAAAAATCACTCCTAGAAAGCCGTTTATATATTAAAGGTATTTTCCGAAATAGAGGTAAATAATAAATAAAAAGTATTTTTTTTAAAACAAGCTTTTATTTAAATGCGCTAAAAAGAATAAAATAAACTTTTCCTTTAAAACTTTTACTATCAACTTATAACGTCATTACACAATTTATATGACATAAAAGCTTGCTTTCCTATGCAATGCTTACCTACAATATGGGTACATATTGTAGGAAAGTATAAAAAACTTAGTCCGCCATCTTCAGAAGTCCGCCATATTGGATTTAGAGTGACGTCACATTATTTTTTGAGTTACACTAAGCAAGCCCTTTCATTTGATGACTAATTATGTTTAATGCACTCCTAGTGCATTAAAAATAATTAGTCCGCCATCTTGGGTGTTCCGCCATGTTGGATTTAGAATGACGTCACAAAGCTAACCATACATTGTCATCTAAACTTAACGTATTACAAAATTTCAGCTCAATCGATTATATCTGCTTCAAAATTGAGTTGCAAGATTCCATCCGAACAAACATTAACATGACTTTCAATAAGTATTATGTAATAATCTATATTATTATGGGGTATCTCATAAAGTTTTCTCATCTGGTTGGGCAATATAAATATATAATTGTAAATAAACATGGTAAACGTACATAAATATCAATAAAATAAAATAAATACATAAAAAATACATAACATACAGCAGAGGAGACCAGACGGCCGAGGGTTAGGGGGAAAGGGAAAGAAACCGGCGGACGATGCGGGCGATATCGAGGAGCACCGCCTTCTGCATTTGAGCTTAGAGAGGTCCGTCACGGAGTCCCAGTCGCCTCAGTTGACCCGAGAGGCTGACTGGAATTAACCCATTCGCAGAGACGACTACAGGTATAATTTCGGCCGGCAATCCACCCCACATGTCAGTCACCTCGTGAGCCAGGTCCAGATATTTAGTCAGCTTATCTGTTTCGGCTTTCACGAGGTTCTCGTCATAAGGAATGGTAATGTCTACCAAAAATATCCTTGACTGTGCCCGGTCCATCAGCACAATATCAGGCTTATTCGCGAGAATAGTCCTGTCTGTGATGATGGCCCGGTCCCAGTAGAGCCTGGCACGGTCATTTTCGAGCACGGCTTCCGGCAATTACTTGTAATAAGGCAATTTCCAGTCCACGATACCGTATTTCAGAGCGAGCTCCTGATGTAGAATTCTGGCTACTAGGTTATTATTATGATTATTTAAGTTATTATTATTATTATTATTATTAATCATTTATTTTCAGACTCAGGTCCATATATCTATTTATTATTCCAAAAAATACTTTAAAAATATGATTATTAGACAATAATTTAAGTACTAAAAATATTTTTTTTAATTTATATACCACCATAATGACACCACTCACACACAGAGACTAGACATGTGACATATGACATCTACACATGACAGGATTATAATGCACAGGTGTGTCCGTAGGCACACGCGTGCTATCACTATTCCCTCACTCTCGTAGTCCATTGGGGACGGTAATCCAACACGACAAGAGAGAGGTCAGACGCAGAACCAATGGCTTTACCTACTTTCCGAGGCACGGAGCTAAAAACACAGCCAAGTTCGTGACTCAGAGCTGTTACCGAGAATTACTTTACAGAAAAACTTATAAACTGATTTTGGCCTAACTCAGGATTCGGACCTGGGACCTCATGATTAGAAGCACTCACAACCACTAGATCAACAAGGCAAACGTGTCGGTTGCCAGAGCCCGTTCATTGTATTGGTACAATTTTTCTTACATGCTAGGTTGGTAAAAACTGAATGAAATTTATACAAAACTCGATACAGAGACTAAACCTCTGGCTTGCTGGCTTATGGAACTCATAAAGCACGTAGTTCAATAAACTTGCAAGCATGTTAGAATCCACTCTGCTGCTAATCATTTGTAGGCCTCTATTCGTTATATTGAATAAAAATTATTCTATTCTATTATCCTCACAGAACATACAAAAAAATTTAATACTTACGCGTTATAAACCTTCACAAAGCCATCGTTAGAAGCTGTGACGAGTAAATGTGAATTCCTTGAGAACGCGACGCTCCTCACTGTCTGCGTGTGTGCCTCAACGGTATGTATCAACTTGCCTTGCGCCACATCGAAAATACAAATCGTGCCATCCACCGCCCCACTGCATATATACGCACCATCTCTACTCTGTAAATGTTGGTACAGTGGTGACAATCTAGTAGTTGACACAATCGCTAATAAATTACTACATTACATCTTAAAACTTGGTCGATATTAAATTTTAAGTTAAATTAGACTTCTATTATTCCAAAAAATACTTTAACAATATGATTATTAGACAATAATTTAAAGACTAAAAATATTTTTTTTAATTTATATACCACCATAATAATGACACCACTCAACAGAGACTAGACATGTGACATATGACATCTACACATGACAGGATTATAATGCACAGGTGTGTGCGTAGGCACACGCGTGCAGTCACTATTCCCTCACTCTCGTAGTCCATTGGGACGGCAATCCAACACGACAAGAGAGAGGTCAGACGCAGAACCAATGGCTTTACCTACTTTCCGAGGCACGGAGGTAAAAACACAGCCAAGTTCGTGACTCAGGGCTGTTACCAAGAATTACTTTACAGAAAAACTTATAAACTGATTTTGGCCTAACTCAGGATTCGGACCTGGGACCTCATGATTAGAAGCACTCACAACCACTAGATCAACAAGGCAGACGTGTCGGTTACCAGAGCCCCGTTCATTGTTCAGCATGTCACAAAACATGCAGTAAATAATAAAAAAAATAAAAAAACTGTTATAAATACCTTACTCTCATCGTAACTCACAATTACAATCGTATCATAATTTGATATTTAAAAATTTAAAGCAGGGCTTCTTTAATAATTTAAAAATAAAATCGTTTACTCACCCAAGCCACACAAACGGCAAATTTTCCCCTTGTATCTAGCACTCTATCCACTGTACCCTTTTCTATGCCGTAAACAATAACTTTGCCCGTATGGCTACCAGAGACAACTTGTGTGCCATCAGGGGAAAATGCTACATCCCATATATCTGTTGGGCCACTTTGTATTTCGTGCACCTTGTTACCGGACACCAGATCCCATATGACTAGAGTTGAGTCCAATGAAGTAGTTGCTAGAGCTGTAATAATAATAATTATTATACGTAAATTATTCGGGGGTTTCTCAAATTAACATTAGTAGAAAAAGACAAAGTTATCAGATCATTGTGTTGTAATAGTCCCCATGTCTCAACACTGCATTAACCCTTGATCCTTATTAAATAGTCTAAATCTAGAGTATTTTTTTATAGTATAGGGTGACAGTGACAAACGAGCACACAGTCCACCTGATGGTAAGTGGATTCTGTGGCCCATAGACATCTACATCTATCCTCAATTAAGAATCCAAATGTAGATGTGTTGTCACCCCTGAGGACTAAGATGGAATGCCACATTTGCAGTAAAAAGGGTCTCTGGTTATCTACACTTACCATACGAAACACAGTAGCATTAAACTGCTGTTTTACGCTGATATTCTGTGAGATCATGGTCCTACCCCAGTCAAGCCGACCCATTCGTATACCATAATAAGACAACTATAATAGAGTTGCAACATGGCTCTAACACGTAACTTTTTGTATTCGATTTCCATTCATCAATCGGTACTCTGCTGAAGTGTCGCGTTGTAAGCGCCGATCATGAGCTCATGACTTTCCACAGTTAGTAGTATAAATTCTAACCACATAAATATAAAATATCCAGACCGGCAACAACAAAGTTGCGAGACGTCTCATACTGAGATGGCCGATTTGCGTGCCAAGCGTGGCAATTCTAATTACTCCACCTTTCAACAGTAGATCCACGACCAGCAGACCAATTAAACGAGCTGATGAAGAAGACGAAGACTGCTAAAACCACCAACTTATACTATATTATCAGACCAACAAAGAAAGATACATAGCACCACATACACGTTAAAAAACCGCCGAAATCAAGCCAACGCCACGTTTAACTTATTATATGACCAACTCACGCAAACATATGCGTCTAAAATCATTTACAATCAACCAAATTTTACGTGCTGTTATAGAAAGAAAGAAGAGTGCATGGTTTCAGCGGCACTTGAAATGAACATGGTGTTGGTCTACTCATCTTTCTTTGGTGATCTGTTTACATTACAATTTTGAGATATGATTAAACAATAAATATTTATTCATTTTATACTTTATACCTACTGTGTCCGTCGTGGCTCGCTGCAACAGACACAACAGCCATAGAGTGCCCTTTCAGAACATGAAAAATCTCAAGTTTGTTGTTTTCTAGTTGCCATACTTTTACCAGGCTGTCCAGTCCTCCTGTTACTATAAAATCTTTCATGGGGCCTCTGAAATTAAAAATAAAAATAATGTTCATATGAATAAAACTCAAATATAATTATCATAAGTAATAATAACAAAAAATTTCGCACACAAACATAATAACCTAGATACGTCTTTCCATTATGCGCAGGCCTCCTCTCTATACTGACAGGGATTTTAGGACAGGATAGTGTGACCGTGGACCTTATATCCGTGAATTATTTTTTAATTTCTCATAATAATTTATTTTATCAAGGTAACTTTATCTATACAAATACATATTAAATAAAATTGAAGTGTCTGTTTGTAATGTCAAAATAACAACTTTTTACTAAATACATATGAAGCCCACATGGGTACCCATAACAAAAACACAATTTTTAAAATTTTTGTCTGTCTGTCGGTTTGTTCTGGCTAATCTCCGGAATGGCTGGACCGATTTTGACGGGATTTTCACTAGCAAATAGCTGATGTTATAAGGAGTAACTTAGGCTAATTTTATATCTATACTAATATAATAATGCGGAAGAGCTTTTTTGTTTTTATTTTGTTTGTTTAAACGCACTAATCTCTGGAACTACCAGTCCGATTTGAAAAATTCTTTTTGTATATTATAGATAGATTCATGTGGAATAGTATAGGCTATCTAGAATTAAGCTATATCACTCAGCTAGCCTTAAATATGGATATTTGTTAAGCAAGTCAGAAGAAAAAGCACTCCCGAAATGATTTATCCCCGTACGCTGGTGTTATCGTTAGGGATACGTAAATACAATGTTCTAGAAAAATATAGCTCTTTACTACATCTAAAAAAAAGTCCGCGATACCATATGTCTATTTCTTATACATAAGCCATAATTAGGTATTTTGTGACAAAAAATATTGAAAATTAAAAAGTGATTTATGAGCGTTATTATTAGGCATGGCTTATTTATCCTTACGAACGAAAGTTACTTCATCATCAAGACAATTTTATGAAGATAAACTTTGTTCTTTATACCATGTTATTTGGACGCATAGTTTAAGAGATAACGTAAAATTAAAATAATTTAATACTTGGCTGGGCGCGCGAACAACGCATAAACCCTAGCCGCCTGGTGAGAACTGCGAGAAGGCGGTATTGAAAGCTTCTATAAGCGAGGTTAGTTTAATCATTATAGCTAAAATAAATTAAAAATTAATTGAATACTTTTATGACAATGATTAGTTACATTTTTATTTCTGAACTCTTTCATTTCACGTTGCTATGGTATTTTGAAAATTTTATTGATTAATAAGTATGAGAGTTTGATAGCTCAAGAATCATTTCATGTCTACATACTTTTCATGCATCGTGTACGGATTTCTTTAAAACTGGAAAAAACCGCACTTCAGGTCACTTTCTGGGACGTGGGGGGGGGGGGGGCTCAACCGGGAGGGGGAGGGTAAATGGATAAAACTTAGCTTCGCTCTACATCATACATAATATGCCGACAGATAAAAGTACTCCATTAATTATGCCAATTTTTCCATACATTGCTATCAAATAAAATATTTAATTGCAATTATAAAATGCTTGAACTAGCTCATGTCGCGCATCTTTGACACGTGATGACGCGGGTGAAACCGCGAGGCACAGCTAGTCAGAAATAATTAAGGTTCTAGGTAAAGGTAAAATGAAATCCAATCGTAATAAATTACACGCGGGCGAAGTCGCGGGGAACAGCTACTTTGAAATAAAAAACTTGATAACCAGTTGGCAAAGTTTGTGTCCAGGGGGCACCATAATATTTGAATCCACTATCAATGAATCATAACCGCTTTATAACAAAATTTTACATATTATATCTGTTAGGAAGGAACACATTTTACAACATTAATTGAGAACAGTGAAAATTAATAGGACTTCATTATAAATAAGTAAAAAGTGACCCAAATTTACAATATACAGGGTTATTTTGCAATAACCTGCCAAATTTGCAGAGAAGGTTCAGAATAAGTAATATGAGCAAATGGCGAAGAAAAATTAATGATTTCTTATATTTACGCGAACACTACACATAAAATAAAACTAATTTTTTTACGGATTTTATCGCGTTTAACCGAAACATCGGCAATATAAAATTAGTCAATTATTTTATATTCCCGACGTTTCTGTTGCTTTCCAGCAACCATGGTCACGGGGGACTGAGGTGGCTGACGTCCCGATGTCAGAGTTAACTCGGAGTACCTTCAACTTTTTAATTATTAATTTTGGTCCGATCTACGCAGAATGAACTTACTGTCTTGAAGTCTTGCAGTGGTATGCTTGGGTTTAGTTTTAATTTTATGAATTATAGGATCCCAAGCAGGTGGTAGTACCCAGTCTCCCTCTCTATTGAAATTAGGTTGTTTTTTAATTTCAATAGCCTCACGTATCATCCTTAGCAGGAATCGATCACCTCAGTACCCCGTGACCATGGTTGCTGGAAAGCAACCGAAATGTCGGGAATATAAAATAAGTAAATTAAACGCGATAAAATCCGTAAAAAAAATTAATAAAAAATATCTCAACCATTTTTATCTTTTAAATTCAAACTGCATTAAATTCGTAAGGGTCGATCGGTAGGCAAACACATTGTTGCCCATAAATCACATACAATTCGGGATAATTTCAAATAATAATATTTGCCAAATAAAAATTTGTTTTGCAAAAGAGAGCCGTACGGGCGATTTATAATCTAAATTGTAAAGAGTCCCTCAAAGACAAATTTAAAGAAATAAACATAGTAACTTTGGCATCACAATATATTTATGAAAATGTAATGTATGTACATAAAAACATAAATAGCTTTAATAAGAATAAGGATGTTCATACCTTAAACACTAAGAACAAACATAAGCTTGTAATGCCAGTTACTAGACTCCACAGAATTAGTAATTCATTTATGGGGCAATGTAAACGCTTTTACAACAAAATCCCAGAACATCTTCAAAGTTTGTCAATAAACAAGTTTAAAAGTTTTATTAAAGAAAAACTGTACAAAAAGGGTTATTATAATATCAAGGAATACATGAATGAAAATAACCCCTGGGAATAAGGTGACGGCCACCATGCTGGTTCTATGAAAATTCATTTAAAATAGTATAAACAAAATTATTGTTAAGTGAAATTGTTAAAATAAAAAGTGCCGCTGGGTTTCTTGCTGGTTCTTCCCAGGACAGAGGTATTTTCCGAACCAGTGGTAAATAAAAAAATGACTTTCAATAAGTATTATGTAATAATCAATATTGAATAAAAATCATTCTATTCTATTCTATAGTAGAAGCCTTATTTACTTGTATTTTCAAAAACTGCAATAATGGTATATAATTACTTATATATTTGAACTTAAGTTTAAAATTTGGCTACTCATTGTAAAATAACCCTGTATATTATATGGCACTCTTTTTTGTATGTAGGGAAATCCAGCCCAGTGTTCATGGCCTTGCTCTTTTCTGGGGTTACGGGAATGCATTGTGAAGTATGACAGGAAGCCTGTGCCAAGGGAGATATATGTTGCCTACAAATTTAATTTATTTTTATATTGTGAAACATTAAATGAATTGTCTTAGATCTTTAAAATGTTTTAAAAAACAAATTTAATATTTTGTGTTCAAAAACTAAACTATTAAAAAGTTTTGCAATTTCTTGTTTCTTTTTTAATCTATACTAATCTATACTAAATAATAAAGCGGAAGAGTTTTTTTGTTTGTTTAAACGTGCTAATCTCTGGAACTAACAGTCCGATTTGAAAAATTATTTTTGTATATAATAGCCAGATTCATGAGAAATAGTATAGGCTATCTTTCATTAGTCTATAACTCTCAGCTAGCCTTAAATATTGATTTTTGTTAAGCAAGTCGGAAGAAAAGGTGCTCTCTAACTGCTTTATCCGCGTGCGCTGGCGTCACGTTTAGTATTACATAAATACAATGTTCTACAAAAATATTGGTCTTTGCTCCACCTAAAAAAAGTCCGTGCTACCATCTGCATTATATATAAGCCACAATAAGGTATTTTGTGACAAAAAATTATTGAAAATTAAAAAGTGATTTATGAGCGTTATTATTAGGCATGGCATATTAATACTTACGAACGAAAGTTACTTCATCATCAAGACAGTTTTATGAAGATAAACTTTGCTCTTTATAGCATGTTATTTGGACGCATAGTTTAAGAGATAATGAAAAATTAATATAATAAACACTCTACTCAGAGCGCGAACGATCGCATAAACCCTAGCTGCCCGTTGAGATCCGTAAGAAACCAGCAGTGAATGCCTATATAAGCGAGCTGTCATTTCGCGCGGCTTAGATTTAGATGCATGAACGGCCCTTTTTGTTACAGACTTCACTTGGACAGTGTAATAATACGCGAGTGAAACCGCGGGGCACAGATAGTGATTCATAATATGAAGGACTTCCATTTTAACACGTTTTTATTAGCTTCGCATGTATCTGTGTAATGGAATCTTTTAATGTAATTTCCAACAACTTGAAGACAGCCATATTATTTTTTATAACAGTAACATTGTCCATGTCAGTGTTAAATGTTCAAAACAGAAAAAATCATACTAGAACCAAACCATGGGTTTATTTGTAGCCATTAGCGATGGGCTGGGCGTTGAATGAACGACCTAGTTGATTAGACCGTCGATGTACTGTGAAAGAGTAGACGATTTATGAACAATCAATGGACTTGTCGATTTTGTAGACAGCTTAATTGAAACTCCATAACATTAACCGGTTCAGTGCTGATGACACGCCAGGTGTGCCATCGATTGTTTTTGTCAGGCGTGTCATGAAATATTTGTTCGCCACCACAGCTAAAAGTATTGTCGAAAATCGGTGCCGCAACAAATCGGTTAATTTCAACTAGCAACGCGACAACTGAAGCGAGAATGTGATCGGATAATATTAATTCATATTATGTTTGTTCAAATGACATACATAATTGTGCAAACAAATTAGAACTCTACATGTAGACAGTGTAAGAGTATAAAGAACAGTTTGTTATTGTGTTAGGAGGAAGAACAGGATGCCGTCATGGTATCATCGCGTGTGCAAAAGAGAAGGGCTACTTCATAATAGACGATTTAATACATCATGCCGTTACACTAGTCTACAGTCTAGGCATGTTGACTACGTCGAACCATAAACGACGTCGCGGAGTTAAACGTCTGCAAAACCAAGTTGATGCATAAATTAGTTGACAAATTTAACTAATTGATTGACTAGTCGATGAATGAAAATGGACAGTCTAGTTTTGTTAACGACAAATATGTTGACGACCCATCGCTAGTAGCCATTGGAACATGATTACAAGTTTCTATTAGTCATTTAATACTGATTAATTAATAAACGGCAATGAAATAAACACAATGAATAAAACTAATTTTATGGATTTTACTTATTTTAATCCATAACATTTTAGTGCTTTAGCAACCATGATCACCCAAAACCATATTTTGAAAAATAACCTGTAAACTTAGTTTTACTCAATAAACAGGAATTTAATAAGTAAGGTAATAGTCTGGTACCATTTGTTTCAATTAACTGAAAGAATATATTAAATGGTAATTATATCTTATACATTATTAGATACACCTTTATTTGAAAGGTTATCAATATCTACCATGTTACATAAATAAATTTAGTAAAATGTTTATATACCTAGTGACTTTATTAAATAATATTTCTTTTAACTTAAAGGCAAAGAAAAAGTTAAACATTATTTAACGAAAACGGAGTGAAATATATATATATTTACATGGCTGATAAACCTTAACTTACTTTGGATCACCAGAAATATTTGCTCGCGTCCACACACAACTGTAAATGGGATCCTCATGGGCATTTTCCTTTTTTATAAGTAAAGAATACTGGAAGATTCATCAAATAGTTAATTAATATTATATTTTATTGGTACTATATAAATAAACTTCAAAGCAAGGTGACTTACTACAGCCTCAGCAGGCATTTTATTGTTAATTTTTTATTTGAAGGTAGTGTTAGACTAAGGTATATTAGGACTTATTATTATAGATAAAAAATTATGCTAGACTACCCAAAAGATAAGAAAAAAAAATATTTAAAATTTATTGTCCCTTTCAAATAAAAATAAACAGATTTTGATTTGTGAGTGTAAAAGTAAAACATCAGTTGTCAATAGGCATGAGACCGATATATCAAAACGTAACTAATAACGTTATGTTATCAAATATCATATCATCTATACATATAATAAAACTGTAAATAGCATATGTCTGTACATTTTATATTTTTGTAATAAAAGTGATTGAGGGGTACTAAAAATAAGTAATTAAATACATTTACATTTTTAGAATTTTCTGTCTGTCTGTCTGTCTGTCTGTCTGTTTGTTTGTTAACGTATCACGTATAAAGTACTAATTTATATCATAAGAATTGTTATGAAAATTATAAAGTGTATCTTCGGGTTACATTTAGTCTTTATTTCATTAAAATCAGTTCATTCTATCAAAAGTTATGATAAATATTCTGAAGTATGGGTAGGGAAGTATAGGTACGAATTTGCTCAACGGTGGCTTTGTTTGAGTCATCAAGTGCATTTTAAACTAATATCATATCATAAATCATAGTTAAATTATGTAAAATAATGATATAATTATGTATATCTAAAACGCAGTAAACAAAAGTATTAAAGAACGTATTAAATATATTATACAAAAATATATTAACCTTATTAACTAAATCTGAAGCACAATAGTTAACCCATTTCTTCGATAGATGGTGGTGTTGTGAAAATGTAATGCAATTGCAATGTGGTTTTTTCCTGTAGATGAGTTTTCATATTTACTGCTAATCTTCATTATATTACTCGCTGCCCTACTGCGTGTTGACAAACTCAATTTATTCTTTACCGCCGAGTACTCTATGTGGTAAATCAAATTTTAAAAGAGCTATTAACAATTGCGTTGGTTTTGGCGAGAGTCAAACTTTATTTTTTGCTTACTGTGCAGGCACTGATTTATAAGTTCTCTTGCGTTTTATATAATGTATCAATCGCGTCAATTAATCTCTTTTATTTTTAGAATTGATGTTAGCAGCGCCATCTCTCTTTAAATATATACATATAATAAAAATGATGATAACATGTGTCTCTTTCTGTACATTGTATATATATTTTGGTGGCTAAAATCATTATGGGGAACTGAAAATAATTAAATAAGAACATTTTATAATTTTTAGAATTGTCTGTCTGTCTATTTGTCTGTTATTATATGAACGCATCACGTCTAAAATAAACATCTTTTATTTTCAAAGAAATCGTTAAGAAAATCATAAAGCGTATCTTCGAGTTACATTTAATCTTTGTTTTATTAAAATTGGTTAATTCTATCGAAAGTAATGATTATTATTTTGAAATGTAGGTTCGAATTTGTTCAATGGCGCCATAAAATCTCAGAAATAGTAATAAAAAGATTTGTGTGTAAAAACAACCTTCCATAATAATTAATATATTTATACTTAAAACACAAAAAGAGATTTAAAAAGGATGTTTTCTCACACAAAGGACGTAATAGATGGAGTTGTACAAATTACAAACTTTTCTGAATTGCTGTGTTGAGATTTTTCGCCGATGAATCGTATTGAGACTTACTGAAGAAATTTGTATCCATCGAAGCCATACAACGGAACCCGACCAAAATTAAAAATTTTGCAACGAAATGTCGTGATATTGTATTTATAATATACGCAAAATCAGTACTGTCATTTTAGCGCTTTGGGAACTAGATTTAGCGCTTTTTTGAAATGTATAGCGCGCATTTCGAAATTTTAGCACCTAGCTTAATCCAGCGCTTTTTGGTGTATTTTTTTTTTTTTTTTTTTTTTTTTTTTTTTTATAGGAGAGGGGGCAAACGAGCATGCGGCTCACCTGATGGTAAGTGACTACCGCCGCCCATGAACAACCGCAACACCAGGGGAATTGCAGATGCGTTGCCGGCCTTTTAAAAAGGAGTAGGCTCTTTTCTTGAAGGTCCCTAAGTCGTATCGGTCCGGAAAAATCGCTGATGGTAATCTATTCCACAAGGAAGTCGTGCGAGGAAGAAAACATCTTCTAAATCGCACAGTGGTGGACCGCCAATCATCCAGATGGTGTGGATGGTATCGGGAGTTCTGCCGCGATGTGCGTTCATGAAATTTGGCGGCTGGGATTAATCCGAACAATTCCTCAGAGCACTCCCCATGGTAGATGCGAAAGAAAATGCAAAGAGATGCAACATCTCTTCGCAGTGCCAATGAATCGAGCCGATCGGAAAGGGCTCGGTCGTCGACGATTCGAGCCGCTCTGCGCTGGATGCGGTCAAGTGGAAGGAGCTGGCACTGGGGAGCCCCTGCCCAGAGATGGGAACAGTATTCCATGTGAGGCCGAACCTGCGCCTTGTAAAGTTGCAGGCGGTGTGCCGGCATGAAATACTGTCCCGCTCTGCTGAGCACGCCAAGCTTTTTAGAGGCCAATTTGGCCTTCTCTTCCAAGTGACCACGAAACTGCACGTCACTCGATATGTCGACTCCGAGGATACCGATACTGGCTGAGGCAAGAAGGGGAGTGCCTTGAAACTGAGGAGATACGACAAAGGGGTTCTTTTTAGCGGTAAACGCGCAAACTTGTGTCTTCTGAGGATTAAACTGGACTAGATTTAGTCGCCCCCAATCCGAGACTTTGTCCAGCAAAGACTCGACTTCAGACACAAGTTTGTTCCGGTACTCGGCGACGTTTTCCCGAGAAATATTGGCCCGGCCGGTGTATAGAGCATCACCAGTGCTGTCATCCGCATAGCAATGAATGTTACCAGTTAGCAACATATCATTGATATGCAGAAGAAACAGCGTTGGTGATAGCACACAGCCTTGTGGAACACCAGCGTTAATAGGCTTGTAGTCAGAACATGCACCGTCTACAACGACCTTGATGCTCCGATCTGCAAGGAAGCTGGTGATCCAATTGCACAATTTCTCGGGAAGCCCATAGGAAGGGAGCTTCGAAAGAAGCGCTTTGTGCCAAACCCGATCGAAGGCCTTCGCAATGTCCAGACTAACGGCCAACGCCTCCCCCTTGGACTCTACTGCCTCCGCCCATCTATGGGTCAGGTAGACTAGAAGATCACCAGCTGATCGACCCCGACGAAAACCGTATTGGCGGTCACTGATCAGCTGGTGATCCTCAAGGTACCGGATGAGCTGGCAGTTAATAATGGATTCCATTATTTTGGAGAACAAGGAGGTGATCGCGATAGGCCTATAGTTGGACGGGTCTGAGCGGTCGCCTTTTTTAGGGATCGGGTGGACAAAAGCTGTCTTCCATGAGTTCGGGACAACGCCATGGGAGTAGGATTTATCACACATTTCAATATTTTAGCGACTAGCGGGTTATTAACTCTTTTATAGCAGCACTGTTAGTCCACATTACCGATAATAATAATAATGACCTTTATTATTTTTTCCCACAAATAGTACATTGCAGTTTATCTTTTTCAAACATATTTTTTCCACAAAACAAAGAGCATGGGAGACGAGTCCAAACTAGGATACCCTGTGCTATGGATCTCCTGGCTTCCCCTTTAGGATGATCAACTTGATTTTTTTACCTATAAGCGGGGAAATCCCCTTTATTAAAGTTTTCGTTCATGGTTTTGGCAACGCATTTATTTTGCTTTATTCAGTTTCAGTCAGTTGCTTAGAGCACAGCCAAGTTAAAAGTTACTTAGAAATTATAAAACAAAGAAACTGTGTAGCAACCGCAATCAGATGCTGATATCTGAAATTAAGTTGCACTTTAAAACAATTAATGACATTTTTATTGTTCGTACAGTACTAACTACTGTTGACAGCAATTGCCATAATTATAAGTCGATGTCCTGCGAAGTATTGATACATCAAAAAAATATTGCCAGAAAAAAAACCTAATGTTGTTTTCTTTATTATGATTATATAAAAAAACACAAACTTTGTTTGTAGTTAATTTAGCGCGAAATCTAGGGCTTTTTTAAAGCGCTGTTTTCATGAAATCTAGCGCTTTTTGTGTTGTCCTAGAGCTGAATGAGTTTTTTTTATCTGGCAGCACTGCCCAAAAACCCTCTATTAAGAAGTAACTTTCCTTTCAGTTTTAAGCGCGTTCAGTTCCCAGTTACAGTGAGCGTGTGTTATGCGATGACCGTAAATAAAGCGCAAGGTCAAACTTTACGCGTTGTAGAGTGTACCTAAGTACTGACTGTTTTGCACATGGCCAACTCTATGTTGCTTTTTCCCGCGTTAGTAGCCCCCGTAACCTTTTTGTGTACACCCCGGCTAAGCCTACTTCTAAGGTCGTTTACACAGATGCTCTATCATAAACGACTTAGAACTTTGATGATAATGATTTATTTAGTTACCACTTATTGATACAGTAATGAAATAAATCGTTTAATATTCTCTTACCTAAACGACAAATTCTTTATGTAAAACCTGTATACGCGAGCTACGCCGCGGGCACAGCTAGTATTATATAAACCTAAGAACATAACCGTTATCACATATCCAACCAAAACCCAAAATCAACTAACCAACGTACGAAACGTAAAACGCAAACTGTATCTGTAACGATATGCCAAAAACCGAAAACGGCCCAGAACCAAAACTAACCGATGTCCTTTGATATTCGTTGTTTCTCGTTCTAGCGACAGTATCATAAATACGTATGAAAGAGATGAAGCGAACATGGATTTCGTTGCGATGTTTTGGTTATCATCAAACGGTGCACGTAGTGAAATATAATTATAATATTCTTAACAATAAGGTCGAATTTCAAATGGTTAAAATTGCCTAATTGTTTTAAGTTTGTTGGACATAAGGCACAAGACTTAGATTTGTTTCATCACATTATATTTGTTTTAGGCAACTTTTGTTTATGTGAAAGTTAGAATTTGATTTTTTTTCAAACGTAACAATTACGCACTT